CCCACACCCACACCCACCCACACCCACTCACCACACCCACCCTCACCGACTCACCACACCCACACCCACCCACACCCACACCCACCCACATCCTCAAGAATTTTAAAATACAATACCGAACTATTCTCTTAATATCAAAACTGATTATAAACATGAGAAGTTCTATGAAAATAATCATCACCATGATCCTTATCTGACGTCAATGAATTTTGTTTTGTTATTATAGTTTTGAATTTCTATATTTAATTTGAGTTTTTGTTTGAGAAGTCTGTTAGTGAATTTCAATCTCGCTCATAGTGCTTATTTTGAGAAAAGGCACGTAGAAATACATGGATCATATATAGTTTGCCTGTTTAAAAAACATGATCTAAATTTTTTTCTTCTCTAGGAAAAAATTATGAATAAGGGTTTCATTTATATTACTTATTTATACTAAAGCAAGTAATCGACACAAGGTTTTCTTCGTGTTTTCCAAGTTCAAATCGAACTTCTTCATATCACTAATTGTTTCAAATGATAAGGCATACTAATCAAGTTAGACCATTTAATGATGAGAATCTAACAGGAAAAACTCGTCATTGTAAAATAACACTCAAAGAGGTTTTAACACTTCTGGTTGGATCTACAATTCCTGTCGCTATTGGTATATATACAGCTGTTACAAATGAACAATTGCAGAAATCAGCTCAACGTGCAGAAAATAAACAACACAGTATTGCTACCGAAAGACGAGCATTTGATTTAGAACAAGCATTTGAACTCTATCAGCAACAACTTTACAAGAACTTTTTAGATGCTATGTACATATTACACAGAGATGGTGAATTAAATGATTCAGCTGAACCGTGGGCATTTGCAAATGCACGTTATCGTGCTGCACAGCGTGAATTCGATCCTATTCGGAATGCCCAAGCCTTAATTTTTCTCAAGGAAAAACAATTGATTGGCCGTGAAAAATGTTCAACCAAATGTCAATCAAAATTAGTCAAAGATATTATTCGTCTCAATGGACTCAATTTTGATAATTTAAATTTAAGCAGTGAAACTGGTAACCTTAGTCGATTAGATCTCAGCTGTGTTGAATTCGAACAAATCTCAATGATAAATACCGTATTCTTTTATACTAATCTGAATGGTGTAATATTTTCAAACTCACGAATGACCGGCGCAAAATTTCAAGGTAGTTCTTTAAGCTGTTCGCAATTTATAAATACAGAATTACATGGAGCAAACTTTTATGATTCAAATTTAAACGATACAATATTCAATAACGTCGATTTGTCAACAGTAACTTTATCACAAAAACAAATGCAGGTAGCGCACTTTGCAAATGCAATTCTACCAAATGGAACTAAAATTACATCTACGACAATGATAACGTCTACAACAACTGAAAGTATCGACAGAGCATTTTAAAGTTTCATGAAAACGAAGATGAATCTTCTCTCTGCTTTTAGAAATAACAGCAGCAACTTCTAATGAAACAACCGCAACACCAACTCAAGCAGCATCAAAAACAACAACGGAAGCAATCACTACCAATATAACAAGAGGTAAGCTCTATAAGAAGAAAAAGTTGTCCAATATCTTCAAGTGTCAATAGGTTCAATCTTTCAGGCATGGAAGAGCTCAATTTGTATTGATGAATCTAAAGTATAGTTTTTCTAATGTTATATAAGATTCAAAGAAAGACCAGTGTTTTTAGTGATTTAGAGCATTTCATATTATTTCCTCATATTCCATTTTGTCTATTTGTATGAAAAACAACTAAAAATTTGATGTATAATTAGGCAACACATTAATTTTTTTAATACTTTATCATAATTTTCCTATTTGATGAAGTCTTACTTCATATTGCTATTGATTCAATAATCGTGTGTTATTTGTTTTAACAAATTCATCAAGTTATTACTGTTGGTGTATTTCATACACAAGAGTTAGTGCTAAATGAATCTGTGGTATATGTTTTCAAAATTATCAGGAGTGGAGTTAACTATAGAAAGATTCCAATATGAGAGTTTTTTTCTTTAAAAGTGTACAGGATTCATAGAAAACATTATTCTTGTATTAATTTCAAATTTTTCAGAGTATAATAGCCGCAGACATATATTAGAAATCTCATTTATATATACTAGTTGAACTCAGGCATGTTGAGACTTCTTGAAAAAGAATTTTTGAGATTCGTATAGTTTTATAGAAACAGAGCTAAGTGGAAAACCTATCAAAAGAGATAAATGTACTCTTGGTCCCGATTTGGAAAATCGAAACTCTGCTGCTACTAAAAGACTTCTAATATTAATTAAGAATAGAGATAATGTTGATGTTAAAAAATGTTTTTCTAAACACTTCCATTTCTCATTGTATTAATGAGTGATCTTTCGATGAATATGATAATAAATCGACATTTTTTTCTAAAATACTAATTCGTGTAAGAACTTAGAACAACTCATAGAAACATGTGGATAAAAATATGTCATGGGATTGTTAAAAAAATCAAAAATTTTCTTCTTATTTCAGATAACAAAATTACACGTTCATTTATTGTATTTAAATGTGTATTTTGAGTCTACAAAGAAAACAAGAGCTTTTAAAAAGATAATATTTACTCTACAGCAGAAAATCAACACTTTTCATTATGGGGTGTGGGTGTGGGTGGGTGTGGGTGTGGGTGTGGGTGTGGG